GCCCTGGGCGGGCGGCTCGGTGCGGGCGGGCCAGGCCGCCCAGGGGTCGAGGTTGCCCGTCGGGTCACCGGACATGATGATGACGACGCGACGGAACGCGGGGCGGCGGGAGAAGGATTCCGGCGCACCCCTACCTGGCGCACCAAATGTCGGATTTCGGGTTCCGGCAGACCCTTGAGGTTCGAACTCTGGGGTGCACGCGGAGATCACCCTCGCAAAGGATCTAGGCTACACGAAGAACAACACAAGGGACGCAAGATTTATACTGGTTCAGGCCACCATTGTGGTGTAATACCCTACTCCAATGTGTGGTGTGTGGATTGCCTGAGGGGCTGATGATGAACAATACAAAGGAAGAACTGCCTCGCGAGGGGAGGAGTTCTTGAGTCGGTGGTTCTGGCTAAGGTTCGATTGGTCGATCCCCCTTCTCCCTGCCTTGAGAGCGGCTAGTCCTATTTATAGAGCAAGGCCCTGGTCCTCTTCTCAAATATTGAGCGGGAAGGGCGCCAACAATTGGCCAATTTGAAGGGGAACATCTAGTACACTTATCCTGACCAAAGTTGGTCCTCGCCTGCCAAAGGCTCTAACGATGACGCCTTCCTGGGCTCCACGATGACCTCCATCCAGCCGTTTTGTTGGTCTTGATCTTGTTGCACCGAAACGGTAACCTTTGCCTGATGCTTTGGCCTGTGTTTGCCCCCTTTGCACCGAAGGGGAAACAAGGACACTGCCCAGGCCGGCGCCCGCCTGGCGCCCGCCTGGCTTCGGTCGTCATGGCTTGCGTCACGGGCAACTCGTGAGGTACCCCGCCTTGATCTTTCCGCCTCCTCGCGAGCCAGCCTGACGAGGCTGCGCCTGAGGAAGCTTCCTGTCATCCGTCCCGCGAGGCTTGGCCCCTCGCGAGGGTCTTGAGCTTGTGTTGACGAAGATGGGTCGTACTGGGCCACTTCTTGAGCCACGCTGCAAGCCACAGGCAGGCAAGTCTGGGTATCCCCATTCACAGAACGCCGACAGAAATGACATTTGTGATGCTCTGGACAAAGAGAATAAAATCAATGCTCTAAAATGTCTATTTCCAAAACCTTTTGTGGAGCCAATTGTGTTTTCCTTTTTGTCTGCAACCATCTCCGAGGACTTGTCTCCATGAAATTTTGAACGCTCCTAACATCTTTGGCTGCAAAGAAAATAAATCAGAATTTTATTTATTTGTCTTTTTTTTAGAAACCAGAATTTTATTTATATGTTCTTAAATTTGACTATTCCTGAGGGAGCATACCGGCATGTTTCATTCATCATACATACAATTAAGCAATACAAAGTCAGGAACTGCCAGGTTAACTTAGGTGCAGCACTGGAACGATAATAATTGTCCTCATTCAACTCGACCCACAATAATTCACTACATTTACAACCTAGATAAAACTCCGCCTATGTTGTCTCAACATAGCCGGTCCCAAGCCCGGGTAAAGGAGGAGGGTTGTGATAAGCTTGGCGAGCCAACGTAAAAACTCAGCCACTCTTATGGAGATGAAACCCAAAAGATTTTCGTTGGGGCGTAACCCTCTCAGCGACGCGCCACATCGGAACCCGGGTGTGGTGGAAAATGGGTAAGGGCCGGGCCGTCACCCCCCAAGTGGTGCGCCGTATCTTGATCCGGATACGGTGGCAAGTGAGCGAGGATCGGGTCGTCGCATCCTTAGTGGCGCGCTACATCAGCGCCCGGATGTAGTGGAAAATGAGCAAGGGTCTTCGCATTTGACTCGACGAGTGCGAAGGGTAAGGAAGCTAGCCGAGCCTAGGAGGATTCGCTTAGGTAGCTGGAACGTAGGGTCTCTGATAGGGAAGCTTCGGGAGCTAGTTGATGCAGCAGTGAGGAGAGGTGTTGATATCCTTTGCGTCCAAGAAACCAAATGGAGAGGACAGAAGGCGAAAGAGGTGGAGGATACCGGCTTCAAGCTGTGGTACACGGGGACGGCTGCAAACAGAAATGGCGTAGGCATCTTGATCAACAAGAGCCTCAAGTATGGAGTGGTAGACATCAGGAGACGTGGGGACCGGATTATCCTGGTCAAGCTGGTAGCTGAGGACTTGGTTCTCAATGTTATCAGCGCATATGCCCCGCAAGTAGGCCACAATGAGAACACCAAGAGGGAGTTCTGGGAAGGCTTGGAAGACATGGTTAGGAGTGTATCGATTGGTGAGAAGCTCTTCATAGGAGGAGACCTCAATGGCCACGTGGATACATCTAACACAGGTTTTGAAGGGGCGCATGGGGGCTTTGGCTATGGCATCAGGAATCAAGAAGGAGAAGATGTCTTAAGCTTTGCTCTAGCCTACAACATGATTGTAGCTAACACCCTCTTTAGAAAGAGAGAATCACATCTGGTGACTTTTAGTAGTGGCCAACACTCTAGCTAGATTGATTTCATCCTCTCGAGAAGAGAAGATAGGCGTGCGTGCCTAGACTGTAAGGTGATACCTGGGGAGAGTGTTGTACCCCAGCATAAGCTGGTGGTTGCTGACTTCCGCTTTCGGATTCATGTCCAGCGGGATAAGCGTGCCAAGGTCGCTAGAATGAAGTGGTGAAAGCTCAAGGGGGAGGTAGCTCAGGTGTTCAAGGAGAGGGTATTTAAGGAGGGCCCTTGGGAGGAAGGAGGGGATGCGGACAATTTGTGGATGAAGATGGCGACTTGCATTCGTAAGGTGGCCTCGGAGGAGTTTGGAGTGTCCAGGGGAAGGAGAAGCGAAGATAAGGATACCTGGTGGTGGAATGATGATGTCCAGAAGGCGCTTAAAGAGAAGAAAGATTGCTTCAGACGCCTATACCTGGATAGGAGTGCAGACAACATAGAGAAGTACAAGATGGCGAAGAAGGCCGCAAAGCGAGCTGTTGGTGAAGCAAGGGGTCGGGCATATGAGGACCTCTACCAACGGTTAGGCACGAAGGAAGGTGAAAGGGACATCTATAAGATGGCTAAGATCCGGGAGAGGAAGACGAGGGATATTGGCCAAGTCAAATGCATCAAGGACGGAGCAGGCCAACTCTTGGTGAAGGACGAAGAGATTAAGCATAGATGGCGGGAGTACTTCGACAAGCTGTTCAATGGGGAGAATGAGAGTTCTACCATTGAACTGAATGACTCCTTTGATGAGACCAGCATGCGTTTTGTGCGGCGCATCCAGGAGTCTGAGGTGAAGGAGGCTTTAAAAAGGATGAAAGGAGGCAAGGCGATGGGCCCTGATTGTATCCCCATTGAGGTGTGGAAAGGTCTCGGGGACATAGCGATAGTATGGCTAACCAAACTTTTCAACCTCATTTTTTGGGCAAACAAGATGCCAGAAGAATGGAGACGGAGTATATTAGTACCAATCTTCAAGAACAAGGGGGATGTTCAGAGTTGTACTAATTACCGTGGAATTAAGCTGATGAGCCATACAATGAAGCTATGGGAGAGAGTCATTGAGCACCGCTTAAGAAGAATGACAAGCGTGACCAAAAATCAGTTTGGTTTCATGCCTGGGAGGTCGACCATGGAAGCCATTTTCTTGGTACGACAACTTATGGAGAGATATAGGGAGCATAAGAAGGACTTGCATATGGTGTTCATTGACTTGGAGAAGGCCTATGATAAGATACCGCGGAATGTCATGTGATGGGCCTTGGAGAAACACAAAGTCCCAGCAAAGTACATTACCCTCATCAAGGACATGTACAATAATGTTGTGACAAGTGTTCGAACAAGTGATGTCGACACCGATGACTTCCCGATTAAGATAGGACTGCATCAGGGGTCAGCTTTGAGCCCTTATCTTTTTGCATTGGTGATGGATGAGGTCACAAGGGGTATACAAGGAGATATCCCATGGTGTATGCTCTTTGCGGATGATGTGGTGCTAGTTGACGATAGTCGGACGGGGGTAAATAGGAAGTTAGAGTTATGGAGACAAACCTTGGAATCGAAAGGGTTTAGGCTTAGTAGAACTAAAACCGAGTACATGATGTGCGGTTTCAGTACTACTAGCTGTGAGGAGGAGGAGGTTAGCCTTGATGGCCAGGTGGTACCTCGGAAGGACACCTTTCGGTATTTGGGGTCAATGTTGCAGGAGGATGGGGGTATTGATGAAGATGTGAACCATCGAATCAAAACCGGATGGATGAAGTGGCACCAAGCTTCTGGCATTCTCTGTGACAAGAGAGTGCCACAAAAGCTAAAAGGCAAGTTCTACAGGACGGCGGTTCGACCCGCAATGTTGTATGGCGTGGAGTGTTGGCCGACTAAAAGGCGACATGTTCAACACTTAGGTGTGGCGGAGATGCGTATGTTGAGATGGATGTGTGGCCACACGAGGAAGGATCGAGTCCGGAATGATGATATACGAGATAGAGTTGGGGTAGCACCAATTGAGGAGAAGCTTGTCCAACATTGTTTGAGATGGTTTGGGCATATTCAGCGCAGGCCTCCAAAAGCTCCAGTGCATAGCGGACGGCTAAAGCGTGCGGAGAATGTCAAGAGAGGGCGGGGTCGACCGATTTTGACATGGGAGGAGTCCGTTAAGAGAGACCTGAAGGATTGGAGTATCGACAAAGAGCTAGCTATGGACAGGGGTGCGTGGAAGCTTGCTATCCATGTGCCAGAGCCATGAGTTGGTTGCGAGATCTTATGGGTTTCACCTCTAGCCTACCCCAACTTGTTTGGGACTAAAGGCTTTGTTGTTGTTGTTGTTGTACAACCTAGATAACAATCTGGATCGTGTTTGCCAGTACGGGAAGACTTCTCAATCAGAATTTTACCGAGCACACAAAAATAGCAAGATGTTTGAACTCATAGCTAACCTAACACTAGAGACTGTAAGACTGTTGCCACCAAAAACGTGGTAACATTCAGCTGCCACCCTATCCTTTCCTATCCTTCGTAGAACCACTAGACACACATGTTGCTGCAAGCACTCAACACATCAGGATAACCGACAAATCTGTCTGAGTGGCAATCACGCACGACTTAAAACAGTCCGAAGAAACGATGTCGCTCCTGGCTTCTGCTGCTGCTTCGTCCAGATCCTGCTGGAGTCACTGATATCCTGTCCGCATTGGCGAGCGCCCACCTGTTGAAATCCGGCGAGGACAGTAACTGCTGCATACCTTTTCTTGTCTCTTCTTTGGTGAATGCTTCGTATTCCTCTTTCGTAAACTTTCTCCTCTCTGGGGTAGTGTGGTAGGTCGAATAGTAGCTGTCCCTATCAAGAACTTGTGACGATGTTTTCTTCTGTGAGCCTGGACAAGTAAAATCAAGTGGTATGCTGAGACAACAATAGTGAACTTGGAGAATCGTGCGACGGAAGGATGGCAAACCTGAAAGAGGTGAATTTCTTCTTGGCGTATGTTTCAGGTATTCACCATGAAGCTTGCTGAACCCATCTTTGTGAGCTCCATTCGTGTTGGAATACCCTCCCAAATCTTCATAGCGGGAGAGGCCACGTGTGATTCCCTTGGAAAGTCCACTGCATAAAGATATTCATTCAGTCCCTTTTTCTTTTCAAGAGAAGATATATTCATTTAAGTTAGTTGTGATTTTCCAGGAGATGCAAATAGTTCTTGTCGTGACAACTGACAAGAATGTTTATCAAACAGAAAAGGACCACTTTCAAACCTGACCTATTAAACCATTTAAATTGCAACCTCGAACTATTGATACTATCCACTTTATCCCTCAGGTCAATTCATTAGTGATATTGGGTGGCATGGTCAACATCCCTGCCACATCGTTCCCATGATCATTAAAATTTCACTCCGTATCCAATTTCTACCGCTTCTTTCTTCCGTTCCTAGCATTTCTTTTTGTGGAAGTAGTTTTATCTGAATGGTGTAGTTTTTTTTTTGTAAGTAAACCCCAATTGCTTCTGTTAATACTGTGTTGGCCATGTCTAGAACCAGGAGCTTGCTAGCTTGCTCCTGTCTGATACCACCACACTGAGTTACATAAACCAGCTGGTTCACCCGAAAGACTAGAACCATGAGCATAGGTGGGCAATATACTTCAACTGTGTGCTCTTATAACAACAATGAATTACATACCTAGAGATACTAATATTAACAATTAACACTATTGATGAGCAGGAGTATACCACTATACCAGCTTCTGCTTAGCGATATTACATAGTTTTTAAACCATGAATAACAAAAGGCTGTAAGCCTGTAATTAGCAAGTTCCTATTCAACTTTAGATAATAGAAAGGGGCATATACAATAATAATAATAGGATATACATCATAATTCATACCTTGATAAATGGCGCATAAATCTTGACATCCCTTCGATCCTTGAAACTGTCTTGATGATTATGCAAAAGACTAAAGCTGCAAATGCAAGGAGATAGTCCAGAGAACTCTACAGGAATCAAAGATGCAAAACTGCCAGTTAGTGAAGTGATAACCGGTAGAATAGTCAGCAAACAGCCGTCGTTACAAAAAAATACCTGGAGGATCAAGACAGCAGAAACAATCAAGATAGCCCACTCGACGAAATACGCCACGCCAGCATCAACAGATCCTTCTTCCGTTAGAACAAGTTTACGGACACCCCAGAAACCAAACCAGGCTCCAGCTAGGATGACGCAAACGAGAAGGAATATACCCAGCTGCAAATGTATTTTACATGTTATTATGTCAAATTGTCAATGGAGCAATGATAGTAATGAAACTCGAACAGAATAATGATGTTAAAACATTAATAATGCTTATATGGTAGTACAACTTAAAAGACTAGTATAACAATGCAAAAACATTAACAATCCCTTTCTAGGGCAATATAGTAGAACCTGGCTATTAGACAACAGGAACTCAAAAAGACAAGCATTCGTAACATATTAAGAAGAATCTGTAATTCAGTAATACAGCTTATACTTCATAGTGATCTATCAAGACAAAACAGAGAAAATATAAGCCTCAAGAATGTCAAAGTCATGGGGCAATTTAAACTGTTATGCCTTAAATAAGTGGCAATGTAAATGTAGGTGGAAATTAAACGAGCACAATGAACCATAGATGACATTATTCCTGGATGGAGAACTTACATACAGGATTATGCATGTCTTCGGCGATTCCCATTTCCACAAGAATTGCACGCAGCAGTCCCGACAAATAGTGCAGAAAATATGTTGTCATGCCAACCTGTTGTTTTTTGAAATCATCATGATGTCCAAGAGTGTGAAAATGAAATTAGAAAAGAAAACTTTCTTAATGGTCAAATGAATACTCACAACTGAAGAGTATGCAAAAATAGCAAGCGAACTCTTTCTGCCAGTAGGCAAAAGCTTCATTCCCTGAAAGAAGATATACCAAAAAGAGGCAGGTAGTGAGAAATAAAATAATATCTCGGAAAGTGACTGCCTAACCAAGTAGCAGACAAAAAGACTTTACAAACCAAGCATGACTTCTGGGAAATTAGGCATCATAAACAGCACAAAGCGTGTGAATACATTCAGGAAAAACAAATGAAGAGGGAAAGGATAGGAGGGAGATAATATCCACCGAGCTGAAGGAAAGCACATGTTCTTGCAGGATTATGTCCAATAGTGCCGAATATGCTACTCTAATTATCATAGCCCAACTGGTATCGTGAAGTAGAGAATAAGAGAACTTCACTCAATCATTATGAAAACTGACTCTCCAGTTATCAGATTAAGTGGCGCTCCACAGAGAACAGGGTAGAGAGGAAGAGCTTACCTGAAAGAGTATAATCAGCAGCACAAGGAAAATGCCGATCGTCATGGCCCCGCCATAGTAGAACACCAGTGACTGACTAAGCGTGTGGGCCAGAGCCATCAGCACCATCCCCAACACCAGGAACACCACCCTATGGAGCAAGAACTCTGCAGAGACAAACACAAAAGCACCAGTTCCCAAATCAACATCTCGCGAGACAGTTGCCGTCAATGTGCACATACAACAAGCAAAACCACGGAAATGCGAGAAGAAAGAGAACCACGCACCTTCCTCCGTGGACACCACAACGGATCTCGAAGGGTCCGCGGGCATCCGAAAGTCGAGGATCCGGCGGTCGTACGGCGAGAGGGACTGCGCCCAGAGGCCGCTCTTGGGCACCTTGTGCCACTGCGACGCGGCGCACTTGCACGGACCAATCGTGGCATTCCTGCGGACACCACCACCAAGAAATCAGGCCGAGATGTTCGAGCAAGCACAAAAAAAGAAAAGGTAGGGTTTCGGTTCGGGATTTTCGCTTACCGGTGGAAGCAGAGCTCGAGGGCGTCGGGGCGGGAGGCGTTGGCGCGGAGCCGCAGGGCGTGGAAGAAGCGGGACGGGTCGCGGAAGCGGGAGGCGCGGCCGCGGAGGTGGACGCGCGTGCAGAAGGGCCCCCGGCCGTCCCCGGCGAGGGGTTCCGCCGGCGGGAGGCGGAGGGTGGCCGCCGGGTGCGAGGCGACTGCGAGGCGGTTAGGGTTAGGGTTTAGGGGGATTTGGGGAGGGGGGTGCGAGGCGTAGAGCTTACCTGTTATCTCGGCGGCGGCGGCGGCGGGGATGGAGAGGGCGCTGGCGGTGCTTCCGAGCAGGACGGCGAGTAGGAGGAAGAGGAGGGGGAGGCGGCGCGGCGGCGGCGGCGGCGGCGGCGGCATGGCGTCGGCGGTGAGGTGGTGGATTTGGGGATTTTCTTTGGGAAGCGAGGCGGGAGAAATCGAGTAGGGGAGGAGCGTGTGTGTTGGAATATTTATTTATTTATTTTTTTGAAACGCGTGTGTGTTGGCTTCGAAACAACGCTGTCCGTGGGAGTCGGCAAGTCTGTCCGTTGATTTTTTTTTAAAAAAAAATTTACTTTTTTTGCCTTCTCTCGTAAGTCACCTCCTCTCCTTGGAACGCTGCTTCTGGAAGGAGAGAGCAGAGCAGCAGCTTACGGGAGAAGCCATCAAAAGAGAGATAGTGCGGAAATGCTTTTGGAGGCCGAGCACCGTGGAGGCCTCCAAATGTAAAATTCAAAATTTGTGAAAACTCATATTTTTTTACATTTAAAAAAAATTCTGAAAAAAATACATGAAGGCATAATGCACAAGTACGTAAATTTTTAGGATGAAATACATTGAAACGAGGGTTGTGCAAAAAAGTCTGGGGCTTTTTAGCACATGATACTACTTATTCTTCCAGATCATGAATTTATCTTTTTCATACAGGTTGCATTTCAGCATATTTCATCCTAATTTTACACACATACACCTCACATCCTTGTTTACTTGTAAGACAATCAGTTTGTTTTTAACAAAAAATTCGAGTTTTTTGAATTTTTCAAAAGGTCGGCCTTCGTCAAAACGCCATACTCGAGATAGAGCAATTATATTTGGGCTTGGCAAATCCGGTCCTCAAAACGTCAACGGACGCGCGCTGGCACGATCGTTGCCTGTGCCGGACGGCCCCTCAAAAGTTTTGCTAGACAGTTACACTTTTCATATCAAAACCTTAAATCCATGCACGTCGATCATATAGCATAAATTCATCACAATTCAATAATGCAACGAAGCAAAAATAAATCGCAATTCAAGAATTCGGACATGCTAAACGTCCAGGGCACGGTTGACCATTTGGCTTTGAAACAATGTTGTCAGAGTCGGTAGGTGACTGATTCTCATAAAACGTAGGCAACCAGGACCCGGTCTTCTTTTTCTTTTTTTTTTCTTTGCTTTCCCTCGTAAGTCACCTCCTTCTGGAGCGAGGAACTTGTGCTTCTAGAATGGGGGGAGGGAAGCGGCTTATGGAAGAAATCAACAGAAGAAATGGATCTATGGCCGGTGTCGCAAGCACGCTGTGTGGTGTTGCACGAGCGGTGGCCGAGTGAATGCTGCGAGCCGAATAGGGGCGCGATGCTCGGAGGTTAGGGCACCTCATGCTGCGGCCATAAGGGAGTGCTCGTCAGTGCTACAATCGCATACTCATCGACATTGCAACCGAGGGATGTGGTTATGTGAGCAGCAATGTGCTAGGGGAGAGGGGGGCTCATCACAAGCCCGAGCCACTCATGCGAGGCTGCTGGCGTTGTTTGACAGCAAACACCAGGCACTGCTGCAATGGGGAGCGTTGTTGCATGGCCAGCACCACAGCTGCTGCAATGGGGGCGTAGGCAAAACGGCACCCCCGATGAACAGAGTATGCAAGCCGATCACACAAGGATGTGTTGCTGCAACGAGAGGAGAAAGACATCATGCTGCATCGACCGATCCAATGGACTCACAAACAAGCTGATGCCTAGCTGTCCCAATATTATCACTCGCACCTATGCAGCGCTATCTATATCTGATGAATCACTCGCAACAGAGGACATTAGAAACCTGAAGATGACGGACAAAGGAACGAGCAATTTATAGCCTACAAAATTCTGACAAGCGACAACCGTCGGATTTACAAAGTCGACAGACACAGGGATGAATGGTCCACATACAGCAGAGTTATTTGCTTCAACATAAGTATCCGCGCAGAAATATATGGTGATAGGAAAAATTAAACTTGACAGGCGACGGTATCGGTGAAGGTGGTACTTGAGACGGTACAGCAATCTCACTTCCCACCGAGGGTTGGGAACTGGTTCTGGTCCTGAATTGCCGGGGCAGGCGGTGGGCCGTGATAACCCCCACCACCAAATCCACCTCTGAAGCCTCCGCGGTCTCCACGGCCCCTGCCGCCACGGCCACGGCCTCCATAGAACCTTTCTCCTTCAGCAGGCTTCAGGAACTCATTGATGCTCACAGACTACACCCATCAGAAAACAATCCCCAGTTAGTAATTGTTATCTAGCAGGAAGACCAAAGTGCAGGTACAAAACTGGGCGCGCTAAGCACGAAAGGTAATTGCTGTTTTAACAACAGGACAGGGGAATAACAGATGAATCCAAGACAGGCAACTAACATGTCCAGAAAGGCCTACAATTTAGCACTTCAGTAACTAAGGGTGTGTACAATGGTTCTCTTCTATCTCAGGAGTACCACATAGGAATGATAAATGATGAGGTGGAGGAGAGAGAAACAAGATTAAGAGATGATCTCTTAGCATAATACCTCCAACCACATATTCAAGAAATCTGGTCACTAGAGATTATGCTAAGAGATAACCCTTTGTGCATCATTTTTTATTGTCATATCTAAATTACATGGTGGCTTACGATAAGACTAACTTTATCAACCACTGTACATGCCCTAAGTGGTTATTGACAATATGTAGCATGATGTCTAGAAAGACGCAAAGTGAGAATCAGGAAAGTTATTGCAAGATTGCACCAGCATCACAACATTACTGTTAGTATTTAGGCACCTTGACAAAAAAGGTACAAATATTTCTAAATAATGCAAGGGATGTAATGTCAGACCTTCTTAGCACGCTCTTCACGTTCAGCATTCTCTTTCTTCTTCAAAGCCTCCTTATCAGCACCCTAAGGAAATACATAAAAAAAATCAGTCACGTGTCTCCACTGAGTTAAGAGGCATGGAGTACAAGGCATAATGGGTTAACTTACCAGTTTGATGAAAACTTCATCATTTCCTTTCTTGGTGGAAAGTAGTTGCATAGCCTGCAGATCCTTATCGATTTCAACCTTCCTCTCTTCAGACTTCTTCAAAGCAGCAAGTGCTTTCCTCTTCTCCTCCATTACTTTCTCAAATTCATCAAGAGTCATCTCCTAAGATCATCAAACATCTCATTCAAATGATTGCAACAAATATAGGTATACTCTTCCTTCTTTAGAAACAAGCAAATGCATACAGCATGACCGCAACAGATATATGATATAATAATACAAAAAGGAAATGTTTAAATACAATGAGAATGGCTGCATAAATCATGTCTGAAAAGAGCTATTGTGTGGAGTTGCCTGATAAAATGTACATGTGTGTAATAAACTAATAATCACTCAGCCACCACGAACACTAACAGAAGAAAGAGCCATAATCAACATTAATTTGAGATTCAGACAACGGTATTGCATATCATGACCAGACTGACAAACTACTGTAAATAATTATCTGTTAGTCTATGAATATCGAAAGCAAGGTGATGAAATTAGCAAGTCCTTCCAAAACAGATATTGTACATGATCAGGAAGTGAGCAGAGCAAAAGCCTACGGCAAACTGTTATTCTCACTTCTTTCAGTCCTCTACATATCAAATGGCAACTTCGGGGATGTTACGAGTCCAACCAAATCAGCATGCACTTGCGAACGCACTAATTGAATACTCAAAGAGAAATATTGCAAAAATCTCACTGGCTCACAGAAGACAATAAGATTACAAAGTTATCCCTATATTTAAAAATCCATAATAAAAGAATGAAAATTCCAAGCTATAAAACATGCAAGACATAATAGTGTATGAATTAAAGCAAATGCATGCTGCATAAGACTCGATATGACTGACAAACCATAAAGCAAAACAAAACAAAAACAATGGGGCAAACTAAGTAAAATACCAAAAGGATAACTATGAGCGATGACGTAAAAGTAGCAAGCCAAAACCCACACTTCTGTTCAAGTTGAGAAGAGAACTAAATGTGCATGTTATTATGCCTTAGAAATATAACTAGAACTAGACTTAGAAATATAACTATAACTAGACAACTTAATCAAAAAATTATCATTCATAAGGACCACAGCGTGAAGGAAGCATACATTATCCTCTTCCTTTTCTTCCTCCACAACTGCAGCGCCATCTTTGGTGGCCTTGTTCTCATCTGCCTGTGGTGCATCCTCCGGTGCGCCCTGCTTCTCAGGTGCAGGGGCCTTCTCATCCTGCTTCAGGGCCTCAGTTTCCCTGGTCACCAAAACAACAACACAGGTTACCTCCCATTTCACCAGCATATAAATAGCCTACATCATAGAGCAGTAGAGCAGATATCTTACTGGGCAACAATTTCATCAGAGGTAGTTCCCCAGTTCCCACGGCCAGCACCCTCGCGTTTTATCTCATACCCACGGCCTGTGCCGCTTTGGCGCTCATAGTTCCTTCGAGGTGGCCTCTCAGAATCATCACCAAACTCACCATCACGATACCCACCACGACGGCCACCCCCCTGGTAGGGTTGCCTAGGGGCCCTCTCTCTATCCTGGGCGCCTTCCTCACCTCCAGTTCTGGCACCATAACCTCCCCTGTAGCCATTTGTGTCTTCACTGCCGTAGTCGCGATTCTGACCATACCCTCCTCGTCCACCTCTGCCTGAGCCACGTTCACCGCGCCCATATCCTCCACGGGAGGGTGGACCACCACCACGAGACTCATTAGCTGAAATACATACACAGAACAGGAGTTAAACCCCCACAAAAAAATAGTCTTTCACGGCAGCAATGTCTAAAACTGAATCAAAATCCCCAACTTCACAGCGATTCTTTATCAGAATGAATTTTTTGTACGATTTCAGACACTAGCAACTAGACTATCCCATAGCAGTAAGCAGTTGACCGAAGGCCACGCTTTCCACCGAAAAAAATAAATAATCCCCGCAAACCCTAAACCCCAGATCCAGCATCTCCGCAACTCGCTACTAAACCCGGACCCTGGACTTACCAGCCTGACCAGGAGGAGGCGGCTTGGTGGGCAGATTGGCGACTGTCTTCGCGCCGCCCTTCCCGGCGGCGGCCGGCGCGGCGGCCTTCTTGGCCTCGGCCTTCTGCGCCAGGGCGGCCGCCTTGGCCAGGAGCTGCGTGGGGTCGTCGCCCTCGTCGTCGCCGAGGAGGTCGAAGGGGTTCACGGTCGCCATGGACGGCGGAAAAAGTCGGGTCACTCTGCGCTCGCTCGCCGGGATTTGTGTGTGGGGTGACCGGGGAACTGACCCTCCACGCTACCAGTCTCTCCTGCCGGACTTCTGCATCGCCATCGCTCGGCCCGGGGAGGATTCGCGCGAGTCTAAGGCTCAGACGGCGGCGGCGGCGGCGGCGGCGGGGGGGTGGGGACGGAGCAGGTGGGGGGAGAGAGGAGGAATGTGTGTGGGGAGTCGAAGAAACCCTAGCCGCACTATCCCGGACTACTACTAGTGCCGCGAGTCCCTATCCCCTCGCTGTCGTCTTGCCGGCCGAAATGACCGCCGTGCCCTCGCGCCGATGGGCTGTTTAGCTGGAGGCGGCCCGGGGATTTGGGGTGATTACGGGATTTCACGGGTCGGGTAGGGCCCTCGGCGCTCGTGGGGGCGCTGGGCCGTGGGATTCCGATCGAGCGGCTGGGATCGCCCCGCGGGGGTTCGCCTGTCGGCGTTGCGGTATTCCTCGTGCTGACCGCTCACTCGCGACTCGCGAATCGTGGCTTTAATCTAATTTTTAATTGAAAAATAATCCCTGTTGATGTACAGGGTTCTAGCCGAGTGGGTTGAAACATAGAAATATGAATTTTGATGAATTTTAAATTTTGCAAATGGAGGCCGAGCTCCAAAGCAATTTTCGGTTCTAGGCACTAAAACATCCCGCATTTGATTACATAAGGTTTATATAGAAGCCGGGGCTAGCTCTTCCACAGTAAGGGCACAGAGGTGAGGCTAGCTCTTCTCAGCCTCATCAGTTTGGCATGAGAAATAATTTTTTTATTCTGCCTTTAAGCGCTCATCAACTTCCTCTAACTGGGTTCCATTTTCAGATAGTTGAAGCAATTTAGGAATCGTCGGTGCGAAGCCAGAGCTTTTGAATTCTGGACGTGGGCTACCACTCAAAAGTAACAATAACTGAAATGAATTGTATGATGTTTACATGATGCTACTAGGTAAGATTGAAACAGTAACTCAAATGAACTGTATGCAGTTTGTAGGAGATAGATTATTTGTTCAGCATGTTCGGAACTGAGTCTATTTGTCATCTGAAACTGCAATTATCACAATGTTTGGCAAGAGGGATGTTGCAAGTTCATCCGCGACAACACAGGGTTCGCGCTCGGGAACGATGGCGTCTTGCACCGATACATTGGCTGAAGTACCAGTAATGGCCGCTGCTATCTAAACCCTTTTTTATACGTAATGATCCATATGTCGTGTTTCGTGAATGTTATAATACAGTTCCAGAAGGCTGATATACTTTTGGTTGCATGCTTGAAGATATAGATATCTACATGGTGAGTCAATTGGTCCTATATATTTGAAACTTTTAGCTACCTTTGAATAGAACCTACAGTTTTGGGTTTTTTCTTGACTACCTCAGTGCAGTTTTCTATATATTGTGTTCTGACTGGCCACTGAATACCAAGAGCGACTACCCAGCGAGGTTAAAAACTTCTCGTCCAAATTCTGAAAGTGTAGACGCTATTGCGACATGTGAGCACTTCACTCCATCTAATACATCAAACGGAAGGTGAATATCACCTCTCTTCGATTTCTTTCATCATGAATAGAGATATGCATATTGTTGATACCTTTTATTGTTTGTGTTGCTTGAATAAGAATTGCATTGTTCTTGTTTTTAACTTTTAACCGGTGGTATGCTTGAAGACCAGCGGGAAATTTTAGTTTGTCCTTTGGAAATCTACATGATGGATAATCTGTTCAGAAATGTGTGCCATTGCGAAATGCTGAGGAAAGTAGTACAATAACACATTTTACATGCCACCCGAAATCTTGTAGTATTTCTTTTGTTTTACCATGTTCTGGTATCAACCACTAACGGAAGTAGTACAATACACAAATTTGGCGTCCATCCATTCTTCTTCTTACTATATATTCTACAAGTTAGGTCCTGCTTAACTTTGGAATGCCTTTGTACAGACATTATTTTTAGGCATTTAAAATCAATTTGGGCCATCCACCTATATAATATGTCCTATAAGTTGCTCCAGCAGGTAGATGTCCTAAAAACAACACAACATGCTTGTTTTTAGGTTATGTTATGTATAGGCTGATGCATGATCACGATTTAGGAATAAGTAGTGTTGAGTTAAAATGGTTGGAATACCTCATTGATAGGAGGTTGTTTCATGTTCTGTACAACTTATTCCGGTAGTTTTACTCTTTAACATGGATAGTCAGAATTTAGGATCAAAGTGGTTGATGCTTCCTGTAGTTTATAGTGTTTACTTTCTCTTCTCATTGCCGGATGGAGGAAAAAAGGCTGGTTCTTTGCATCTCTTTTCTCTAATGGTTAATGGAATTGCAGGTGGTGCGGACTATTTGGAGGGATAAAATTCTGATCATGGCTAAAAATTGTTCCAGAATAATTTATTTTCCATGCCATTTTATGTCTGAAAAAAATGTGAGGCTTCTTCCACAATGTTAGTAATAAGTAATGAAGCCTAGGAGGTACTTACCAACTGATTTTCATGAATTGAACTTGGATGAAGGGAAAGGGCCTAAGTAAGTACTTATTTCTTGAGTGTGAAACTTCTCATGACTATATTATAACACATGGCCAGTATGATCTACATAGAATTGTTCTTTTATGGAACATATGTATGCGGGGTCTCATAGCTTTAAAAAATTGTGCGACCATGGTATATATTCTATCAATTGTCATCCTCTAAATCTTTGTATGCATTCTACTACATTCAAATGCTCTAAGGTAAGTCATAGGAAATACTGTCTTACTCTTACTGAAGAAAGTGCTCTGAATAATCAAGACAAAAAAAATTGATGCTTGGGATATACGACAAGTTAGACGATTGTTCCGGATAGTATCGAATAAGAATGTGGTACTATCACTTGAGTTGGAGTTCATATAGCTTTGACAAACAATTTTTGTAAAGCTATGTCAAGCATTTCTTAATGTAAGTACAATTCTACATGTGTTGTGTACCTAGTCTATAGTGAATTATTTCTACAGAAGGACATTTGGAAAATTCAGTCAATGTACAGTTTATGATTTATCAATGAATGAAATACTTGATTATAATTTAATAGATGTATAATTTCTTTGTGATTCTAATGTTCTTTCTGATTTGTATTAGTCGAGACTTAACTTTGCAATGCCCTATAGAGTTATAGTATGTTGTTTGTGGAGCACATGCTCGAGCTTAGTTAGACATGATAAAAATAACTTCACAAAAGGGCGAAGAAGTGAACCCCCTTCCCCCTCCGGATCGGAGCGACGCGGAGGGAAACCCTAGCTGATGGCCTTAGGGCCTTCCTCCTCCTTGCTTCTCCCCTCGCCGCCGCTGGCTCACGCTGACGGGCAAAGCCCGGTCACGGCGGCGGTGGCGGGGCCTATCTTCCCCCTCTCGATGGTGGCTGATGCGGGTCATTGTGGTCGGGCGGCGGCGCGGCGCTGGTAGAGAGTGTTGCGGGCGGCGGTGTCTGGGCCGTTGCCTGGCGGCGGCGTGATGGGCTCTATGGTGCTCTACGCGCATTGCGTCTGGAGCTATGGTGGCGGCCACAGTCGGACGGTGGCTGATGCAATGCGGTGGGGCGCCGTGCCTGGCCGTGTGGGCGGCGGGCCGGCAACGGGTGTGGACTGGCTCCCAGAGCTTCTCGTTTGTCCTTGGAGCGCATCTGCAGACGGAGGCCTTCCCTGGAGCTTCTTCTTGTTGCGCTGGCCGGCGATGTCGGCGTCCTCTGATCGCTGGATCTGGCGGTCAGTGGGGTTGAGGGTCTGGTAGGGATGGATTGGGGAAACCCTTGGCCGATTGTTATGGCCACGATGCCGGCGGTGCTCCAACGTCGTTCCTTCTTGAAGGCAGCATCGCGATCCTGCTCTTGCCCTCTAATTCCCGTCCTGGGTGAAAGCCCAGAGTCTCCAGATTGGGTCGTGACGACGCGTCGATGTCGTTTTCTTCTTGAAGAAACCACCTTGGGACGACGGAGTGGTGGTCGAAGCTCCGACGCGGTTTGTGGTATGCCGGTTATCTCCAATGGTGCTCCCGTTCGGCTACTTGCGGTTGAAGTTGTTGCTTGCGCGCGACGGTGGCGAAGTTTCTATTATACTTGCTCAAATATCATGCGAATGAATCTAAAAACAACATTCCTGATATTGTGCGAGAATTTCTTAAGCGCATCAAGTAGACATTAATTTGTTGTAGATTTTCAGTTGAATAATCACTCTATATTATACATATACATCGTTAAATTGCCTTTGTAAGTGAAGTGGACTTCAATTATTACCCAATTGTGTATGTGCTATCTTTTCTCTATATGTAAATTTTGACATGCATTATGTTTATAGAACTCTAGCAAAATATTTCAAAAGCCCGTGACAACACACGGGCATTATACTAGTTATCATAAGTCGTAAAAAATGTGATGGGATTCTTTTTTTGATGTCCTCATGTCCCCCGAGATGAAACAAGAAAATCCAAATCTTAACTCTCACGGGATAGAACAATCTTATAGGAATACATATAAGTGTATAGCCAAATTTACTTGCCCACTAGATCATGTAACAGTATGCACAAACCTAAAGAAAGAAACATGTGCAACACATGCATGTATAAATAAATACCATAGCATCGACGATAAGGGGGAACTTACATCTATATGAAGTTTGTTCATTGCAATTTTTCTTCTTCCGTGTTGATGATCTTCTGGGCTTCGATGAACTTTCAAGAGTTTTGCGAGCCTTCACATTCTTTCTCGGGTTTCTGCGGAAAATCTCATGCTACGAGGAGAATTAGCTAAATACAAGCACCAAATATCTATAAATTGTTAGTTTATAAGAATCTCAAAAGTTTAATAATGTCAAAGCAATATATTGTTTGATAAAGCTGAAAATTCAAACATTTGGACACGTCTTTTTTGACTAATTACATAATATATTCACAATATACATAACTACAAACAACACGACATATTATGCAGAA